CAGATTTTTTTTTTTTTTCTAAAGCTAAGGGCATCAGCAACGCAGGCGAACAGCCTTGTTAGCCTCAGCCAAAAATTCCGGTACACGTAGACGAGGGTGAGTCTGAGACACTAGTCTCCCAAGGCGCAAGACGGGCATGCAGGTGAGCGGAGAATCTTTTTCACAGTCTTTTCCCATCACAACTTTCTTTATTATAAACTTGTTGTGGTCCCAAGCAAGCATTGGTGGCTCTCTTCTCCACAACGTGGACTTCAACAGCTGCTTCAACTTTTGTCAGACCGGGCATACGAGGTTTCTGCAGGCACTTCTGACGGTCTGCGAGACCACCAATCCTTGTGACTTGGACATTCAATGCTGATATGGCGACTGAGGCAGTACGCCAACTTGGAACATTGGGGAAGGCTCAGGGTATGTTTAGATTTAAAAACTTTCACCCTAAAGTATTACATCGAATCTTGCGGCATATATATGGAGTACTAAATGTATACGAAAAAAACTAATTACATAATTGGATGAAAAATCGCGAATCTTGCGGCACATGTATGGAGTACTAAATATAGACGAAAAAAAACTAATTACACAGTTGAGTGAGAAATCGCGAGACGAAACTTTCGAACCTAATTAGTCTATAATTAGACACTAATTACCAAATACAAACGAAAGTGCTACAGTAGCTAAACAGTAACCAAACCCAAAAAATTTTGAGAACTAAACGCGCCCTTAATGTTTATTGCTGTCTCTGTTGGGCGTGCCCTTAAAAGTTTTATAAGCTGGAGGGACGCAGCTTGTGTGAATCGTGGTGTGAAAAGGTGAACTCTAACAGTTTGCTTTTAAAAAGAGCTCTACTCGTTTTAGCTTTAAGCTTTATTCATCGAATATTTGGACATATATATGGAGTATTAAATATAGACTAATTATGAAACTAATTGTGCAACTTACGACTAATTTGCGAGACAAATATTTTAAGCCTAATTAGTCCATGATTTGACAACATGGTGCTACAGTAACATGTGCTAATGATAGATTAATTAGGTTTAAAAAATCGTCTCGTAAATTAGCCTCCATCTATGTAATTGGTTTTATAATTAATCTATATTTAATGCTCCTTATTAGTATCTAAACATTCGACATAAATTTTAGAAGCGAAGAACCAAACACCCTCTTAGCCATTAGAAGAAGAATCTCAATCTCGGTGAAAACAAACATGTTACTAGTGCATCTAGGATTCATACGCCGATGAGTCATCACAGCGAAAAATATTAAAATCCTTAATAGTGAATAAAATTATTCTTCTTTGCCGTGTGCATCCATCCCATGATGCAAAGTCTAGAATGATTTTTTCCCTTTTGTCTAAAAAAGTGCCCTTCATTTCAGAGTCCAAAGAAAAGGTTAAAGTTGTACTCCTTCCATCCCAAATTATAAGTCATTCTAAAAATTTTGGAGAGTCAACGTATCTCAAGTTTGATCAAAATTATAGAAAAAGTTACAGAGATTTATGACATCAAATAGATATAGTATGAAAATATAATTAATGAAGAACCTAATGGTACTTACTTGATATCATAAATATTATTATCTTATTATATAAATTTGGTCAAACTTGAAATGATTTGATTCTCCAAGATTCTTGGAATGACTTATGCCGCGTTTGGTGCGGCTCTTGGTGCTTCGGCTCCTACTCCTAAGACACTGTGCAACACTGTTTTTACTGTAGCATGACAAAAAAACGGCTCCGGTTCCTTCAAAAATAAACTAGAAAGAAGAGCCGGAGGAGCAACACATTTAGAGCTTCTCCTAGCTCTGCCACAGTAGTGCTACAGTCCCGGAGCCGGAAGAAGCCCCTCCAAACGAGCTCTTATAATTTGGGACAGAGGGAGTAGTTGGGAAACACTAGAAAACAAGAATCCGACGACAGTGACCGATTTAGGCATCAATTTTCTTCTGCCAAAGGGAAACAGAATTCCAGAAGCCAAAATACCCAAAGGTCAACACGCATCAAGAGATGTTAACCCACATGGACAATGGAATCCAATTTTTTTTATATTATAAAAACAACATTTGAAATAAACTACTACTACCACAGAAGCAAAATGAAAATCCAGTTAGATAACTTTAAGATCCCAAAAAAGGACTAATTTTCTAATTCATGCTAAATATTTCCTCTGTTTTCAGTGATAAGCAACATGACAACTAGTGTATTGGTGGTTCACAAGATTGTGTGCATTTGTGCATTGTTCATAGGTGAGTCTACCTGCATGTATGTATATAAGTACCCTGTAATTCGAAAAAGATTAAAAAACATCCCGATGGTACTTTTGCATGGACAATGACTTAGAGAGAGTATGTACATTTTACCTCCGTCCTAAAAAAATACAATTATGGATTGCGTGCTACGAAAAGTGATTCACGTTTGATCAAGTTTTTAGTAAATAATATTCATATTTATGGTTTTAAATTAATTTATTATGAAAATGCATTTCATAATTAATCTGATGGTATTTATTTGGTATCAATAAATATGGATACTTTTTTTTATCTATAACTGGTCAAATTTAAGGTACTAAAACATGATATTATGCTAGAATTGCATACTTTTAGGGATGGATGTAGTATTTAGCAAAAGATAAACCAAACTTTTTGTGTTGTGAATTAATTCCAATCACATTAGCACAAACCTGACTTTTCATTAATACACGTCTGCTATACTTGCGTGGAATCAGGGAATGAAGTGACCACGAATTCAACAAGAATGGCATCTAGATGCGTTTACTTTGGGTGGAAACTGATTCTTACGCGGCGAACAACAATTAGTAGTTGGTTTCTCTATTTGCTTCTGTCTATGTATATCCATTTCACAAGCATCGGTTGACATATTTTGCAATAGGATGCCAGTTTCGAAGTTGGAAACATCAACGTTTGTCTTACAAAAACAAGTGTCAAAATAGAAGGTGAGAGCTTGGAGGAAAAGAAAAAAGATCTATACTACCAATTACCACAAGAGTCTGATGAGATACAGTACAAGTTAGAAATAGTCCCTAGAATCGCACCAAAAATGTTAAACGGCATAGCACTGAATAAAATTTTATTTTATTTTTTCCACTTAGACTATCCTATTTTATCTGCTCTGTGTTGGCAACACACACCATTATATTATCACCTGTGAACTTGATATCCGATCCATTTACATTTCATAGATCATTTTTACGATGGTTGGCAGGAAGCCAAAAGAACTAGAATTAATCTAGAACTGATTAATGCGTCTTTCGACGTACTCCTAGTCCACTTGCATATACGTGCCAGTCGCCAACAGAAGATCGCATTTGGCACACAATAAAAGCAACTTTTCAGTTTGTTCATGTGAGCCAAAAGGTGATCTAAAAGGTGACAAGCTACCTAACCCATCAACCGCTACAATTGATTAACCAGCACTCAACCCTGTTCCTAAGCTAGCTAATCCTTATCCTTTCGCCGTGGCCCTATGACCCTATCACTGAATATATATACTACCGGTCGGGGTCGGTGTGACGTCGCCAATTATGCAAGTGACCCACCTCGAGTTTGTAACTCCATTGCTAGCATTGATATTTCTTTGGCATGTCGCTTGCTAGCGCTAGAAGCCTAGAATGACAATCGACGGCAACAAACCAACGGGGTCTCACTTCATTCGTTCGGTCCGGCGAAAGCCGGGTCACTCGTCCCTCGTGATAATGAAGCCTCTCGCCGTTGCTTTGCGTTACTGGCCATCTGACACCGCGGTTTCCTTTTCCACAGACGGATGGATCTCATTGTATATACTCATCTATATGGACACGAGGCAAGATTTGGCTTCCAGAAAGCAACGTTGTCAACTTGGAACTTGTTCGAAATAAAGAAAGAGGCCAATTAGCATGACAGAGGCCAACAAAAATTCCCAATGTGTTCGGCTTGCATTACATTAGCATGACAGAGGTGGATTACTGCCTCTTCGCATGTTGGCCAGTGCTCTGAACTGGGATCAGCGTGCGGCCGCTGTTCAGCGACAGAAACGCCTGATGAGTTAGGCAGGTCCAAACCAGGCGGAGACAAGCGTGCAGAAAAGCTCTCATATCGATCGCATGGACGAAGAGGGCTGGAAAAGCCACCTGCATCGACCATGCCTCAGCTGTGCTCCTGACCACTGACCACTGACCACAAGCACATGGTTATGAGAGCTTTTGAGTTCTGGGCAGCGTATCCAGATTTGCTTGCCCTGTTATCGTAAAGGTGTCTCTCGAGATAGTGGCCGGCCAGCAGACCAGCATTTTCCAACAAGCCATGCAAGTGTTCCTACGGCTGCAGAGCTGATTCACATAGCACAGAAAGGAATCACGCGAAGAATTTGCACACAATCGGATATTCTTAGCAAGTATTAAAGCAATCTGCAACGTGACACAGTCCAAGGGACTTCTATTGGTAACACAGGGGTTTGGTACAATGGAAATTACACGACAATCTCCTGTGGCCACAAAAGATACATGTACATGATTTCAGAAGACCCCATACAAAGAGACCGAGGGAAAAATGGTGCTTTCATGCCCACCTCAACTCTCATGGAAGGAAAAGGGAAAGGTGGGAACACTTAGGGGATATATATATTTACACAATGGTGGAGATGGGGATGATGCCTGGACAATGGTACATCTTCAAAAGAATATACTACCTACCTTCTTTCTTTCCTTTTTTTAAGAAAAATAACAACGATGCACTATCTACCCGCCTGGTGAGCAAGCTTCAATAAATGAATAGAATGGTACACTTCCCTACACAAGTCTTCTAACAGTGTGTGTGACTCTAATAAGCCCATCATTGTATTCGTATACCGCAAGGCAAATGCTGACGGTTGAGATTGATGGGCCTCCTTGCAATGGTTTTAAGAGTTGAGATGCTTTGGAACGAGGTTTGGGCCGCCATCATGTAGACTTTTCCCTTATTTTTGCAACCATCATGCGCCTTGAATTTACATGATAATCCATCTTGCAATATCAGTACCAAAATGCCTCTCCTTGATTAACCCACTGCACAAAATCCTTAGATAACCCCTGATCCTGGATCTCAGCAGCTTGATCATCCTGAAAGATCCAAATGAAATGATTGGTTTATTTGTTGGGTGAACCTCTATTATGAATGGTCAGCAATTGTAGTCTGCCAGTGATAGTCATACAAGCCAAAGTTCCAAACACACACACAAAAAAAGAGGGGGAGAGGGGGGTCTATTTCAAGAGAAAAAGTATGGGGGTTCTCAATTCCACGCAAACCAAAAGTGAAGACAGTCATGCTGATTTTAGCAACCTGTTAATGTTATGCTTACACTTAGTCAGCAGAACAAGTTATAGAGTTATATATTATATAAAAAAATGGCATGCCAGAATGGAACCAGAACCAAGTAGTTGATAGGCTTATTCAGGAAATTAGGCCCAAGTGGCTTGTAAACCAGGAAATTAGAGAGCTCCCGCTGCAAAGGGTCCAAGTGGCTTGTAAGACCATAATTTCCGCAGTAAAAATAATTGGTAAAAGGAATGGGCATGAAAGTCATAAAATATAACAGACAAAATGTCAGGTCAGAGAAGAGCTCAAATATGGTGGCTATTCTCGGATTGGGTCCATGATGGTTAGGTAAAACAAAAGGTTTTGTAAACTGTGGTTAAAGTACGGAAACTGGGCATGAAGTAGAAGTCATAACAAAAAGTAGGATTGTTGATTGCACTAACCATTGTCCCAGAGCTTACATCATGAACACCATTATCAGTTGAAATATTCACATCAGGAGTGCTTATGGCTTTTGACCTGTTTAAGCATAATGAACAGCATGAAAATTTATGAGGTTAGAAATATTCATCTATATCGATTATAAATGGGTGATATTCGCCAGCAGTTCCATGTACACTAGAATGGAGTATCAGAATACATGGCATTGGCAAGAACTGCTGTTTTTATTTTTCTAAACTTGGATAATCGTGCAAGTATTACAGAAATATCAGGTTTCATCTCCAGGTAAACAGTTGAGAGGTACCAATCTTTAGCAATCCTTGGAGCTTGACTGATTTGGAAATATCACTATGGTTGTGTGGTCAATGGTGCAATACCAACTTTGGTGTGATGTGGAGACTACTGGTCTTACAAAGCTTGCTGTGAACGCATCCAGTGTGTGGAGTTTTCTGCTGATATCAATCCTTTTCTGTAGTTCTGTGGAGCGATTGTAATCCATGTACATGCTTTCGTGGTTGTTTGTGTGTGTTGGAGTGAATGTTCTTCTTGAACTATTTCCTAGTTAATGCAATGATGCTCAGGTCTCCTGATAATCCACTTAGATAAGCTATGCACAGAGTTTTCCTTTTTTTTCTGAGAGGTGTCAAGGAGTTAATAAAAAATGAAACTAATTATTTCTCGCTGCCATTTCTGTGTATACCATACCATGCACAAAAAACAGGAGGCCTGATGCACTAAAGATACATGATAGACCAAAAAAGGGAAAGGACAGTATGAATAACCTTTCATTGTCTGAAGCCGAAAGCCAGTCAAGATCCAGGAAATTTGAATCACCAGAACCATTGCAGTAGTCTAGTTCGCAGCTTATATGCTTAATGTGAGACACTGTCGGAGTATACCTGAGTATTTTTCAAGAGAATGGAGAATTAACAACTTATGTGTAAGTGTCAGATACTAATTTCTCAAAAGTACACTTTAGGATAATGACTCTGCTATCAAAAGAAGAACAGAAAAGATGGGGTTACAGAATCCAGATAGCATAAGCCAAACCTCGACTTTGACATGGAATTGACGGAGGCTGAAGACATCCCATGCACTGAATCAGAACTCCAGTTTGGATGTTGTCCTTCATTTTTTGAACCAGTAAATGCTGGATTTAAAATTCCATTTGGGCCATTACTGGACATTGATGGTTTGCTTTTATTAAGAATGCTGCCATCTGATCTTGCCCTCTTCATCAATTTACTGACAAAAATGTATAATCTCAGATAATTAATAAGATAGATTGTGTAGATTTGCACAATACATGTGTCAATAAAATCTGGATTATTTCATGCTTAAAATAAGTGGTTGGGAAGCACTACACAGCCTTGCTACCCCTACGAAGAATGTGAAAATAGATAAATAATTCAAGTGTCCTTGCTACCCTATGAAGGTTAAGAAGTGAATAACACAACTTCTCCATCTGAACTTTCAAAGGACTGGTTAAACCAGAACAGATGGATCAGATATTGCTGCACAACTCTTTGGGCTCTCGCGTAAAGACTGCTAATCAATTTTTGGTTCCACTATCACTTCTATTGTGTAAATTTAACATGCTATTAATAAGAGAGACAATAAATATAGATACTTCATAGTCACGCCACCTTTAGTGATATTTCTGTTATTGCTCGAATTCATAGAGAAGAGCATATTATTTTATTAGGAGCATGTCATGTGTACATACTTAACCCTGTAAGTTCAAGCATAGCTATATATTGCTAGCTTACCTTGTCTCGTCATCAAGTACATGCTCATCACCAGATTCTGGCTCCCAAAGTGCAGGTTTTCCCACCTGCGGTTGGAAGTATCCTAAAAATCTGAAATTTAAATACATAGGAAAAATAAGTGACAGAAACTTAGTCCATACTCTTAGTATTTTCCAATTGAAACTTCAAAAGATATAAGAAGATTGCTCATATCTTAATCACACATACAAGTTTATCGCTGCTTGTTTGTAGGCATCCATATAGGCATTACTATAGTACCGTTGCAGTGTCCTAAAGAACTCTTGAGATTGGATGGCAAACTTCAAGTGCCCTCTTTTTGCAGAGAATATCTACACATGAAACCACAAGGCAAGTTCATCAGAGAAGTGTGCAAGAATAATCCAACATAAAAAGAATGTTGAATGCCATGAAAGTTATTTGACTTGCCAAAGTCATCAGAGAAGTGTGCAAGAACAACCCAACATGAAAAGAATGTTGAATGCCATGAAAGTTATTTGACTTGCCAAAATGTCAACAAAAATATTATTCAATTAACTAGACAGCAGTCACCTTATCAGTACAACTGTGTGAGAACTCAACAATTGAATAATCTTTTAGTTTGATTGACATATTGATGTAAGGTTACAATTAAGCTATCTTTCACTTCTGATTCATGTGTTGTAGTCCATTCTGCACAGTAGTTATAGCTCCCAGATCAGCAATGTAATCCACATTACTTGCTGATCCAGATCAGCAAGTAATGTCAGAATCCTTCAGAATGAGAGCACATACTAATTCTGTTTCACTTCATAATTGAAGTGACAACTGACAAGTGCTAGTTTAGTCCACTGATCAATCTAGGTGGCACCCTGTCACCCTATTTAGACAGAGCAACAGCACACTTTTCCCTTTAATTTACAGATCACAGATATCACATGTATATTCTATAGAGAAGAAAATCAATGAACCTCTCCTCATTCTGTAGGTGGAATGGAAACATCGTTACAAATGGATTCCAACTTTTCCTATAACTTAAAGAAAAATTTATCCACGGCAGATAGGTAGGATGATAAAATACAGAAACATATTGACATAATGCCAAGGTAGTAGGATAAAAATGCAATTTCAAAAATAAGTGTCAGCTTGATTGAGTAAAATTATACAGACAAAATAATAAGACGAGTAATTCTATAAAAAAGTAGCTGCATCACACTAACCTATATGATAAAATATTGAGAAAAGTAAATAGCGTAGCAGTGGACTCACAAATAATAATTGATATGAAGAAAAGCAATTCGCTCGTAGTTGATAAACTGTATGATTAATTGCAATACTATTGATACCACTGTATGATTAAGTGTAACCCTAGCTACTAAAATAAGTTGCCTTAGTCTCAAAATAATAACTGAGCCTATATACTTGTTGAACTTTTTTAGAGCCATTAATCAGCACACTTGATTGATGATAGCCTATTTTAAAATTCCATATCATAATCTGTGGATATCAAGTACAAAATAGTTCTCAAATTTAACTTCCGTAACTCCAACTAGCTTCATGGTTTTATTTCACTTTTCAGAATAAATGCTAGTCTTTATGCCACTCGTCCTGGCATAATAAGTTCAATTTGAAACACAAACACTTAAAACAGACCAGAGGCAAAGCTAATCGAGGAAACTTGGACGAGTTCTGAAATAATGTAATAGCATATGCAATGCAACCATCCTTATTTCAACACACAAGCATATTGTGGAAGGAATAAAGAACCTACAGTTTTTCTGACAGAGAGAACAATAAAGCAAACATTCAATGGAGTACCTTATTGTGCGCAGCAGAACCACCATACTGTAAAGCAAGTGTGTCACCCATCCGTTCATAAAAATGCATCAAATGTCGAGACAAAGGGGAGTCTAAATGAACTTCTGGAGATTCTACAGAACCAAGTTCATGTAACTGGTGTCCTAGAGCAGCTAAGCCATAGGCATATTGAGCAACATTTGTGCGGTCCAAACAATCTATACAGTTTGTACGTAGGACACCTTTTTGAAATTTTGGAGGCTTTATTTGGGTAGATCCATTGACCTCAGATTTATCTTCTGCAATTCCATTGCCAGGATCAGAACTGCCACAGGTATCTTCTTGGGAAATGTCATCAAGATCAACAACATAGTCTGCATTGCCGCAATTGTTGTTGACATCACACACGTGAGGACCAAAACCATTTTTCCTACATACAAAACATAAAACCGAAAATAAGAAAGTGTCAAGCCATTCAAGAATCAAGAGGTACATGAAAATAGGAATTCAAATTGAATAGCAGAGAAACCAGTATACTTACAATGTAGGGCTTAAGTTAAGGGAGTTCTCTGCCATTTGAGCTGGGGAAACTTGACAATAAAAGAATTCTGTCAAGTTCAGAGCTTCAAACGCCACTTTCAAAAGCACTTGAAGGGCATTTGTACTTTTGCTGAAATACATTTTTTCTTCAGTTATATACACCAAAAGAATCGAACAGAACATAAGTTTGAGGCACATAACACAAGAATTAATACCTTTGAGAGTTCTTATGAAGATCCCAATGTAAAAATCTCAAATGGTCTTCGCCTGGTAGACCGGTATTAATAATCTTTATTGCTCTGTCAAATTCCCGACGAAGTATAATTTCTCGTGGTCTCTTCTCATGTGTCTTTCAAGAATAACACAAAGTAAATTGCAAATGTGTGATTCTTAAAGTATGACTTATATGAAAAAGATCCATCAGAAGCAATGGCAGCATCATAAAAGTGTGCTCACCTTAATCAAGTTTAAGATGATGATAGGATTTCCATATCTCTTCCTAAGATTTTCAAAATGAAGCCTGGTAGCCTCATAATTTTTGTCCTTTTCATGCACTGCAAGAAAAAAAATACCAAATGTTTGAATAGTATTTTACGCATTGAATAAGGATTCCAATGCTTACATAATTTTTGTCCTTTTCATGCACTGCAAGAAAAAAAACATCAAATGTTTTAATAGGCATTGAATAAGGATTTCAATGCTTACATATGATATCAGGCTTAAGATTCAGCTTTGATGTCTCCTGGGACCAGAATAGTGGAATTGAACCCCTGTTCTGCACAACAGAGCTTATTTGCCATGGTCCAAGCATGTCTTCATAAACAATTTGCTCAGTCTCAACATCATTTGCTACTCTGCCCTCCTCATTCACACCCCTCTTTAGATACCTGTATGACAATATCAGAAAAAGAAAAATGCAGCATATCAATCCTAACCACACAAAAATTGATAGAAACGAGTATACATTACCTACGTTACACGGATACGTGAGGTTGGCCACGTATCCCGTATCCGATACCGATACGCAGTGGATACGCGGCGGATATGTATCCGTGAAGTATCGGCAAAAAAATAAATAAAACAAAATCCCGATATGTGGACTGATACGTATCCAAGCCGTTTGGGCGTTTGGCGATACGGCCGCCCACCCACCACTGACCTGCGATATGCTATGGCCTATCCCACACGCACTGGGTGGGCTGCTCATCAGCTGCGCCCGCACCCTACCACTAAAGCCGGCGAGGTCCGTGCTGCATTCGCGCCGGGAGTGCTGCCCGCCAGCCACACGCCGCGCCGCACTCCTGCTGATACACCGAGGAGATCCGCGTGCTGCATTTGTACACATTACTAAGAGTTTCACCGCAAAGTGTGAACCTGGAGGAGCTGCAGCATAATGCCTCAGGAGCGCAGTCACGCAGACGGCTGAGTGAATGAAGCGTGTTGGGGAGAGATAAAATCTAATCTTCCCACATATCCAGTGAAGTTTATCGTTTACATGATATCCAAAGCACAGGTGAAAGCAACTAGAAGCTGTGAAATATTATTCTCCAGAGAGCATATACATACATTATGCCAATAATTTTAATGTCCTTAAAATAATAAACGATATCACGTATCGGGTTTTCTAAAAAATGGCGTATCCGGCAGATCCGTATCCCTCCGATACCGATACACACGTCCGTATCCGTGCTGAGCAATTACTAGAGTTTGCAGTAACCTGATGCCAGCATAATGCCTGGCAAATGAGCGTCAGCATAATATCTTCCCAAGCTTTTATCCTATATAAATGAAATAAGAATATTATTCTAAAAAGGATAAATATGTTAGATTTTTTTTCAGATTACAAAGAAGCAGCATAAGTAGTTACCTTTACATAGTGCAAAATAAATCAGGAACGTATTCATCACTTGCTAGTCCATTAATATTCGACAGTCTTATCATTTGCATAATATTTCATCATGATTTTACACATTATAAACTAAAAAACACAACTATTCCTATGACAAAAAGAAAAAGGAGAAAAGGATTCTTACTTGTCTAGCACAAGCGAATAGAACATAAATTTTAACTTAGTAAAGAGCAAAGCAGGCGAATATAATGAACATGGTGTAAAAAGAAAGGAGTAGGAATGTAGGATACATCTTTTTGGATGCTATCTATCATACTTCACAAATCCTATTAAACGATATAACAGGACAAAAGGGTACAAGTTTCATATGTACCTGCTTAAAAAAACCATAGACTAATGCAACAGTCCAGAGTGTAGTTTTCAGAATGTAACGAATCCCTCGAGTTAGGAACTCATTCCAGACAAACATTGTGTCATATAGTTCCCACCCTTCTTGTGGATCACTAAAGTTCTTCTGGAGACTTCTCATTATTTGATATGAGTGGCTAAAAAAGAAGTCTTTTCTAAGATCAATTGTCTGCAAGAGCTTCTTGTACCTGCATGATTAGTGAAGCTTGGCTTATGATGAGCATACAGTGGTGCAACTGTTTGCCATGTAACTGCACTAGCTATGCTCCTGAATCTTTCTAAGAAAAAAGATAGAATATTTTTTTTATTAAACAGTTAGAAAATATCCAATCTAACTATCAGTGTATGATAATATGAAGGATAGTATGTTAACAATATAAACATGGTGTGCAGTCATGCAGCACCTGTTCTCGTCCTTGGAGTTAATTAACTTTGGCCTCGTCTTGGAATTTGATAACTCAATCATCGCAGTCTTAGTAACTTGGTACACCGGATGACCAAATATATCCCCAATCTTTCTCTGCTCAGTAATAATTAACATGTAATAGGGCCCAAGGAACTTAATGAAACCTGTAAAGAAAACATATTGTTGATGCATATTTACAGGGAATATCTTACCGACATTGCATCAAATTATGATCAGAGTAAGATGGGATAGCTTACCAATGATTCCAAAACAGTTGGTGACAAATTTGACTCCACCAGTAGACCTGTGTTCTTCATCTAGATTTTTTAGAAGATCAAGGTAGTCACTCTGTGAGTGTACAGTAGAATCCTCATCTACATTGAGCTCTGATGGTTCCATTCTATCAATCTTGAGTAACCTCCATATTGTCTTGTTAGTGTTAGTTCCAAGAATATAAAATTTCTGCCAAAAACATCCATCATTAAATTATGATAAAAACAAATAATCATAGGAACTAGGTACTCAATGTCACTTTCACCCTTCAGTAAATGTCAATTGCTACAATTAAGGATCAAGATTCAGGTGGCACCAATAGCCACAAATAATTCAGGTGGTGTGATATGTATTGGGTTGTTCACCATTAAACCATCATGAGCAGGTTACACGAACCAGACCCACTATTTCTCACCTATCCTAGCAAAAAATAAACATCGAAGTCAAGCTCGCTCAATGCCTTCCTCTGTTCTAAATTTCCATTTTCCATCTTCCACAAATATATAATTTCACTCATAGCCCATCATTGTCCCAAAACCTCAGTTTAAGAAAAGCTCCAATCTATTCAAGTAGCCTTTCATGTCGGCAATATCCTGTCAGATCCTCTTCGATGTGACAACAGAAATTCGCACCAACTTCTTTTTGTATTTGCTTTATCGCAATCAACAGACTGTTGCATGAACAAAAGGTTCTCGAATTCTCTACATTCTCACAGATGGAACGGTCAAAGGACGCCATTCTCCATTTTTTTCACTTTTTAGGACAGACAAAAATTCCCATATCCGACATGCATATACCAATCCAACTTCTAAATTCTAGTCCGCAAACACAAGCAAGACATGAAAAACAGTAAGGCTTCGCCTTTGCACGTGAGTTTGCAAACACATTTTCTATAAGGCTTCTATGTACAGAATGCACCCGGATAGAGATAGCTTCATCAATTACCAGCAAAACAAGAAATGTGTCGCCAAGAAAAAATCAACCAAACACTGTGTAACCAATCATCCAAAAAATAGTAGGATGAAGCACAGGCTAGTTTTAACTTGATGTCACCCTGGTTTTAACTGATAACTTGAATGAGCACACAAAGGTTTTCTTTTCGTGATCAAAATCCCAACAAATGAACATGAGCAGGGCTTGTAAAGCACACCTATTTCCTAACCAAAACTATATAGAAAAAAGCATAGTAACTAACAAAATAAAGCAGGATTCAATATCTCACGCATAGAATGCAACAATACTAGAAACTAAGAGCTCCTGAAATCTAATTCTGATAATCACTTTTGTACACAGACATATTCAAATCGCATGCATGCGGTTGTCATGAATGGAAAAGGATTCATAATTCCTAAATCCCCGACGCTGCATGGAATGATCCAAGCACGTAGACCGGATGCTCTGTCCCGAGCTAAACTTGACGCCTAGAGCTCAACCGTCTCCGTAGCTATACAACCTTGACCGAATCACAGAGCAGCAGCAGGAGCGGCATCATGAACAACATAATTTTATACCCAGCAACAAGAGACAAACAGCAACACCCGCTCGACGGAGCGGCGCATTGTGATCCAGGGGGGCGAGTAGCTCACCGACTCGGCCTCGTAGAGCTCGAAGCTCTTGAGGCAGCTGTCCGGCTCCGGCACCGCCGCCGCCGCCGCCATGGCCGGCAGAATCCCCGGCGCGGGCTGGCTCAATCTCGCATCCGCCACAGCGGCAGATCACAGCCCCGCAGCCGCCACCGCCGCCCGCCGGAACCCTAAGTCCGCGCCGCCCGGCTGCTTGAGGTAGAGCATTCCCCGCGCGAACCACGGCCGCGGCGCCGCCCGCGAATCAGAGCCCGGACCGGCCCAAGGCTCGCGGCGAACGGTCGAGCTCGGGCGCCGATCGCGAGCGGCGGTAATGGGGAAATTCCTGGGGGAGGAGGAGGAGGAGGCCGCTGGCGAGGCCGTGAATGATGAGGGAGATTGGTTGATTTCGCTTTCTTTTTTTCCCCCCCGTGTGTTGCGAAATCCGTGAGGCGTGGAGGCTGTCCGCTGTCCTGGGGAGGAGGAGGTGGTGGAGGTCGGGCGGAGGAGCGAGGAGGGCGAGCTGGCCTCAGGGAGAGGGAATATATATTGGGATCTGTGTTTGCTTGTTTTTTTAGTATTTTCGGTCGTTGTTTTTGTTTGCAATTTGTGTTCTTGCAGGTATTTATGTCCGTTTTTCTGTTTGAATTTCTACTTGTACAGTACTCCTGCGCCGCCATACTGTCGCGTCCAGTTTTTTTCCTTCTTCTTCATTGAATTTTCTCAGTTCTTCCGTGTTTATGTGTTGTGTGTGAACAAAATGATGGCGGATGGGTGATTGAGGCGACACGACAGTTGATCACTGTAGCAATTATATCGTCTAAAATTGACAGGGTATAAGTTCCCATTTCTGCATCTACAGTTTTGCTTATGCTGGGGCAATAACGTTTCATGATTTTGATATGTTATTATTAGTATCTGTTCCTGAAACACTGACTTTTTTAGTTGAAACTTACTCGCTTTGTCAAAACTGCGATCGATGGATAAACAAATGGCTAAAATTAGTTGTCACACATTCCGTGGTCGCCGTGAGTAGTCAGTCTGTTCGTTCGTTAGTTTCAGTCAGAGCTTATCAGTCAGCCAACAGTGTTTTTCTCTCACAACAAATCAGTACCAGCCGGACTTATCAGCATATAAATCAATCAGCGAACAGACTCAATATATGTGTGATTAAATAATTAATAAAAAAATACTGCTACTCTCTACATTGTTAGCTCCTGATGCTGGTGGTGCTGAGCATATTCTAGAATCTCCAGGTGGGCATTTGGTGCCGGGAAACCCACCTGCTAACGCTGCCGCTGCTCTGCGCCACACGTCCGAACCAGCCAGCAGGCGAAACGAAACCCGTCGCTGCCGCCGGTCCCGGCTACGGCTAGGGCTACCCACCCACCCAGGCAGGTTCCTCCGAGCCGTGAGGCAACGCACAAGAGGGAGCGTATGGGGCACAACATGCACACTACTGACCGAATCGAATATCGCTGCCAGTAGCGCTTGTTTGTACGCCACAGCGCGGGTAGACTTCCGCCGCACCCGAGACCGCCTACCTACACAGCCACAGAGACAAACCAACCAGGAACCCCGCGACCGTCGCCGGCGACCAGCCCGCGAACCAGTCGGTCCTGCTGAACGATTCCGTCCGACGAGGCGAAGGCGAATTCTGTTGGGCCGAGGGGCGATCTCGAGGGGAAAAGGGTGGGGTTTCCGGTCGTCATCGTGCTGCGTGCGCATATGCGCGCGCGAACACGACGAGGGGGTCGGGTACTCGGGTCGTTTTTCTCGGCGGGCGCGGCAGGTGCGGCGAGTTGACTGCGATCCAGAGGCCAGAGCGACGTGAGCGGCTGGACTGGGAGGCGAGGGCCCCGATGATTGGGGGACAGGAGGGGCGGAAAGGGCTGTGCCGCCGATGCGACTGCGCGCGCGCCACGCGCGCTTGGGCGACGTCGTTTTTCTTTGGAGCCTTCCTACCGTCGCTGCCACGTCCTGGCGTCCACGCCAAAACCGACAACAGTAGCGGCAGCACGCGGGCGCTCGGACGGAAATGCCCTCGTCTGCTACGGTGCTAGTACTCCTCGTCTGCGTGGTTCAGATTCTGATTACCTTTTCTGTCAGCCGCAGCAGCCGATGTGCAGAGCTCTGCTCGGGCATTTCTGGAGCACATCCACATATTTTTCGGTTCTCTTTTCCCTGTGTGTGATCGTTGAGCGCGACCGAGGAGCATGTGCATTGATACGGCGGCGGCAGATTGACGTTCGTATGCGTCGTGGAGTTGCCTGCCAAGCGTACCAACAGCTGTGCCTGTGCCAGTATGCCCGCGCACTGTTAACAACGACGTGTGTCCACAAGGCCACGTTCCTAAATCCTATCCTAGGTCTGGTTTAGATTCCAAGTTTTTTCACTCTCTTTTCATCACATTAAATTTTTGACACATGCATGGAGTATTAAATATAGATAAAAAATAATTAATTACACAGTTTGATTGTAAATTACGAGACGAATCTTTTGAGCCTAGTTAGGCCATAATTGGACAATAATTGTCAAATACAAACGAAAGTGCTACAGTGTCAAATACTGATTCTCAACCATCATCTAAACAAGGCCTTGTTCTCTTTGCAAATTTTTTTAACCCGATGAATAGTACCACTTTCGTCTTATTTGACAAATATTGTCCAATCGTGGATCAACTAGGCTCAAAAGATTCATCTCGTGATTTTTAACTAAACTATGTAATTAGTTATTTTTTTACCTATATTTAATACTCCATACAAGCGGCTAAAAATTGATGTGATGAAGAAAAAATGAAAAAACTTAAAATTTGGATAGCATCTAAACAAGGCCCTAGCTCCCGATCCCTGTGGCGGGCAAAAGAAATTGTGGCAGCATGCACCTTGGCTTGGCTGGGGTATCATCATACAATTAAAGACGTTATCTTTATACATATAAAAGGGATCAGGATGGCGGTTCAGATAATCGCAAATTTCTCTACGATGAGTATGAGTCGAGGTAGTAATAGTCAGCGTTAGTATATTTGTCCTGACGGTGCTAATACTCCTCCCAGCAATCGTCTATGCCCTGTTGATTTGACTTATAAGTCGTACTTTTTCAGCCAACGAACAGTATTTTTCTCTCACAACAAATCAGTCAACAGTACTTTCAGCCATGGCTTATCAACCAAGCAAACGGAGCATCCTAGTCAGCCTCATCTATCCGATTTTCAACCGGACTAGTTCAGCAAAGCATTATTGCCATGGGAAATGGATTGTTAACTAGCGCACGAAACATAATTCAAAGGTTGGAGAGCGCTCGAGTGTTTCGAGCTCCAATTCTTTTTCCCAGCGCGATTCATGTTCTGGCATTGTTTATTGCGCGAGCAGCAGCGGCCGGCCTTCATTTTATCGGGGAGGTAGGTACCGTGTAATTGTGTTGTGGCGTCAGTAGACCCATGTGGAGCGAGGAACGGAAAACAGGATGGAATGGTACGTATATGCAACGCAGACCGTTAAATTTCAAAAATACAACGTTGTCATAAATCATTGTTTTTGTAATATAACACAATAAAGACAAAAAAAATACTCATATATACTTACATGTATTCATCCCAATGAATGGACCCATGTGTGCCTTTGAGAGATGAGCCAGGAGATCTTAAGGTTTATTTATGAAAGCACCACATGTGCCTCGTCATTGATAAGTACATCACCTAGTACTAAATGGATATAACAACTCTTCTAGGAATAATGATCCAAGAAAACGTGTGAATAACACATACAAGCCCTATGATTTGAACTCTAGTGAGCAAGTTCCACTGCAAGAAACTTAATCAACTGAGATACAGTTAGTTTGAACGATGTTGCCAAATCAACAAGCATAACAAACAACATCGTTAATCCATCAAGAAACGAAAACAATACATTGCATATGGCCAGTGGAGGAAACATGAAAAATCATCAAATGGACATATTAAATTAGTAAGAACCTAACAATAACAATTTCACCAAAACTTATGATGTTACAAAATTTATATAAAAATATAGTTCCGAATGGCATGAAGCCAAAACAAGCTTCATTCTTGATGTTACCATATCAGCATGAATCTAGCGAAGGTTTGTTCCAATTGAAGCTATATTTATTTTTTTCTAAGAATTATACTAAATTTTCTTGTAAGTTGCTTACCAATTTCATCACGTCATTTGAAGATTTATCATTATTGTTGATTGGCCATACTTCCTTCATTTCCTGGAAACCACAACGTCTCAATTGTCTGTTTGGTTTACCACAGTGCTATATTTTGTAATGTGCATTCACAATTTCTAGGAATCTCTAAAAAATAAAAGGACTACAATAATTTATCTAGGTTCTTGTGGCGGAAACTACTTATTTTCATGGATCAATTCCATGAAGAAACAGTGCTATTATATAGTGGTAAGCAATGTGTTTTGTCAAGAGTCTAGAGATGTGTAGCGACTTTGTCAATCTTTAACACACGGCTAGGAGAACAGCATGCAAGGGATAGTGGTTATCGAGTTATGCTTGAGGAGGCCTACGTCACCATTGGCCGTTGGCGTTGCCTATCGAGTCGGTGATGGACAGTGGCGTAGCCACAGGGTATGCCGGGTATGCACCGGCGTACCCTGCAAACCTGGCCAGCAGTAGTATATATATTATTATATTATATATACGATGTATTTGTTAAAAAGAAAAAAAAACATACGTGGACACCATCACGTGACGACGGGAGGCCCATATGATGCACTGACGCGGCCCATGTGGCGAGGGAACTCCAATTCTCCAAAGTCCAAACGTCCGGTACGTGCGCTCCGTATATGACCCTTCGAATTTCCTAATATAATCTCGATCGGACGGAGGAACACGTAAGTCCACCGACATGTGAGTCTGTGGCGCCTCGCCGGGCCATGCCCCTCGTGTGCCTCGCCGCCTCCGCCATGCTCAATCTTTGATCGGAGGGTCGCCGTCTAATTCCCACGTCCTGTCTGCAGAATATACGGTTGCGCCAGTCAGGACTTATCATCTTGATTCGCTATTTTGGTTAGGTAAATTTTGATCTTTGCTCTTCATGTTTTTTAGAAAATTATTTTCTA